AGGTCCATGAGCACCTGCATCCCGTCGCCCGGGCCCATGTGGGCCACGTGGTTGAAGTTGGTCGGGTTGGAAATCATCCTGGATCTTAGTTCTGGGTCTCTAAGCATCTCCCTGGGGAAGAAGGCATTTTGGGATTCACGACCGTACCGCCGCTGCTGCAGCCTCTCCTCCTCCGGCACCTTGAAGACGAACCGCCTCTTGCTCCGGGTCCGCAGCATCTGCTTCCGGCTGTTGTCCGAGGTGTCGGGCACATTGAGCACGGTTCCTGCAGGAGGGAGGTGACCGCGGTCACGGCAGCCACAGGCCGCGGCAGGTCAGAGGGCAGGACGGAGGGACGGCGCGGTCAGCGGACGGAGGCTCACTCACCTGAGAACTTGCTCTTGAAGTAGATGAGGCGGGGAGGCTCACAGTTGAGCAGGTTGAGGGTGCCCTCCGTGTTCAGCGGTCTTATCTGTTGGAAACAAGAGAGGGTCGGCAGCCGCACGCACAGCGGGCGCACAGCAGGGGGAAGCCACCCACGCCTTCCCCTCCGCCCGGGCCTTACCCTCCGCAGGCCGATGGTCTGCACCCACTCCATGGTGCACACGTCGAAGACGTCCACCCCGTACTCGCTGTACACCGTGACGTGCGAGGGGCTGCAACCTGGCGCAGACAGAGCAGAGCACGGTGAGGGACGGCGCGGCCCGGGCCTGGTGAGGGCAGCGGCCAGGCCCATCCCCGGCCTCCAAAAGGTGCCGAGGGCCAGGTGAGGGGCGGGCCACAGACCCTGACCACGCCCACTCTAGGGCCTTCCCAGATTCAGACCAGCACGACCAGAGGTTCGTGCATCACCACCGCTCCCGACTGAGGAGCAGGCAAAAGCCGCAGCACAAACGGTTTGAGTCAGCTTTCTTACACGGCTCCTGCAGAGCTGACACTCGAGGCTCCACACCCCAAAATTCAGGGAGGGCCGAATGGCCTGCCCTGTGATGCAAACTCCTGTAGGAGATGCCAAGGAGCCGGGGTTCTGGGTGAATATCCAGACATACAAGAACCACTGCTTAGCTCTGGGGGACGAGCCTGCCGGCCGCACCCAGCGAGCGGGTCTGTGCAGAGTGAGTCCTCGGGAGGCGGGCTTCCCTCCTGGCGTCTGCTCCGACACCGAACTACTTTCCGGCAACAGCTCTTTCCCTGCTCAGAGTGACGCCAACCGTCAGGTGGCGGCTGAAAAGCCCCCTGTTGTTCCAAAGACACAAGCCGAGGCCTGCGGGCCCATCTGAAGTGTCAGGGCTTCCAGACAGCGGGGCGCCTGTCTGCTCCTCGCGCCCACTTGTGCGCTGAACGCTGCCCCGGCACCA